GTTGTACAAGTTAGACACAAGTAATGGCAATTTTATTTTCAGCAAAATGAATGCTTATGTACTTTTGAAGATAGATGAAATAAAATAGAGTCCTTTTATTTTTATCTTGTTTCTTGTCCAAATGATGAATTAATTTTATCATTTGAAAGTTAATCAAGTACTTCAAATGCTAGTGCCAGAATGAACATAAGACGTCCTCTTCAAGAGTACTGTAAACATAAGAGGGTCCTCTCTTATGAAACCTTCACAGTAAAGGGTTGGTTCTGTAAGAGTTTATGCCCGGAACCCAAATGTTATCGGAAAAATGCACCCGAAGCATTGCATAATTTGATGCAAAAAAGTAAACTTTGCGTAATACTTAAACGAAAAGCACTTTTATATAACAAACGTGCCAAGCAACAAAAGTACAAAAGTATAAAAAACAACAAAGGGAAAAGAAAGTGAAAAACAAAACTATTGCATCCCCAGAACTCAGAGAAAGAGAAGCATCTACACCCCTAGGAGAAGTAGGCAGATCTATTGTCGGCTTGAGATCTTTATCATTCATCATTATCCCCTTCAAATTCCTCTTAAGATCCCAAGAACTCAAAACCAAAAACAGAAGAGTTAGTTGTATCAGACCAAGCCGGGAGGTGCCTTCGGGCAGTTGGCTCTAGCTCTCGAGTCTTGGTGATTTCGGCATTAAAATCAAAGATGCCCGCTTTGGCATCTTCCAAGATTTTTCTCCTCATACTATACATAGAATGTGTTTTCTCAATAATGAGGGAATCCTCTCAATGCTGGGGTTCCTATTTAAGCCAATCAACCTCGATCGAAAGGCCGTCCCGCTCGGATCTTATGGCTGTAGGCTGAGATCAAGGTCACGGATAGTGGAGATATGGACCTTATTGTGTTTCATGACCCTTTTATACTTCTCCTCCATCTGGGCACGCTTCTCCTTAATAGTAACAACCTCTTCCGCTGTGGAGTTCAAGGCTGCCTCTAAATTATTCAGTCTCTCAGTAGAGGCAGCCTCGCACTCGGCAGCATCGAGAATAATATGTTGGACCTTAGACCATTTAGCCTTGGTTTCTTGAAATTGTACACTTAACTGGGATGATTCTTGGCTAAGGGCCATTACTTCTTGCTTGCTCTATTGCAACCGAGACTCTAACTCACAGGCTTCAAAAACTTGTGCTTCCAATGTCAGGAGACGAGCAACAACTTGGCCAATAGTTGATCCTGCTCGGATGTAAGCTTCTTTTTTTATTATTATCAAGGATCAACTTTTGAAGGCCCTTAGAAGCAAGAAAGTTGGCATGCAAAGCAAAAAAAACCAAGTACGAAATCCTATCATAACAAATCAAGAGAAAATAAACAACAAAGAGAACGAGCACCATACCACTACTGCATTGTGCATGGCATTATTTATCATACACTCCCCCGAAAGAGAGTGTATTTTCTTTTTGTCTTTCTCTGAAGCCAGCGGCTTCAGGTAATTGGCGAGGTTCACCAGTCGGGACATCAGATGGCACTCGGTAGAGACCGAGAAGGAGATACTCTTTCTCATCTGGGATCTGCAGAGGGAGATGAATAGTTGTTCCCTAAATTTCCATGGCCTGGGGACTAGGGAGGAGTGACATCATACTCTCGGGTGTCTGCGGTCAGTGAGGGTTGTAGATGTTGCTGGCGACGAACGAATGATCGGCGAGGAAGGAGATGAAGCTGATAGTATTGTGGGTTGAGGTTATAAGCTCTTCAGATTGAGCATTCTTTTGAGCTGATAAAGGTCGTTTTCTCCTTTATAAGGAAGCCCCTTCATCACTGGCTTCCCCATCATCATCAATCACCACAGTGGCAGCAGCTGGCTTGGGTATGACTTTCTTCACCTTTTTATTTTTGATTTCGCCTAAGGAAGAGCGCCTTTTTTTTAGTTGATTGCTCTCCGGTCGGGGACTCCAAGAGTAAGCACTTGCACCGAAGGCAGATCCGATGTTGCCTGTTCGGGTGAAGGCCTCGTTCAGAAACCTTACAGCCTCTCGAGATCAACGAAAACATCCTCCTCGAGGATGGTAATAGAGCATTGTGGAAGACCTGAATTCAACAAAAAATAAATTTAACTAATTCTTTTATACACAAAAATAAGATAAAGACAAGATTAGTTTCGCGAGCCAACTTACCATGATTTTTGGCCTTCCACCTATAATTGGGGAGTTCTTTCCACCAACGATTCTCAAGCGTGGTAATGTCCAGAATCTTCTAGACCCACTGGTCCAAGCCTTCAACCCTTGGTGGTGTCTACTGGGTTGCTGAAATAGTAAAAAGAGAAGAATCAGTAACAACATGAAATAACTTTTTTTTCAAGAGAAAAGACATGCTTTAAACTTTCGTGTATGAGTCCATAACTCAGGGAAAGATGGAGTTGTGGCCGGAATGATATCCCTAGTGGCAACAACAACGAACCGCTCCATCTATCCACGATCATTGTCATCATCCATGCTGGTGAGCAAAGTATGGTAGTCATATTTGCTAAAGTTTATTACTTTCCCACTGAAAATATTAGGGGAGTAGAGGTTCATTATGTGAGTCAAGGTGAGCTCTTCATTTATTTCCTGGCACAGTTGCCGTAGACAGGCTACCATTCGCCACACTAAAAGGCCCACATGTGCCAAACAAATCTGGTATTTGTGGCACAACTCCAAAATTACAGGGTCAATTCCCCTGCTCAAAGAAAATGCACCCAAAGTAAATGGGTACGTATAAACGTACATAAAGCCCTTTTTAGGAAAGGTTACTCGCTCCACCAGTTCGGGAGCGATGATATTGAGATCGTGACAATCACAATCCTCCTTCACAACAGGAATGCTAGAACGACAGATGGAAGAAGGGTACACGCCAACAACCCATGTACGAGAGCTTGTAAAAGAAAACTTCTCTTCGAAGTCCTTAGTTGTTGTGAGTCTTCTGGGAAAGATAGTGCTCACCGTAGGAGGGATAACATCATTTGTGTTTTCTTTGTTTTTAAGAGAACTTGAGTTCTTGGAGGAGGAAGCCATGGTTAGCAAAAGGTAATAAGAGCTCGATGAAAAAGAAGAAGATTAAAGAAGAGTGACAACAAGAAAGAGTCGAGTATAAATAAGTTGAGAGAGTTTGAAAAACTGTGAAGTGTAAAAGAAGAAGAATGAGGCATATAAGTAAAGAAATAGGCGGCTAAAATCCTGGCCATGATTACCTTCGAGAACCAACGAAAATATTGTTAAATCGTGGAGTGACGCTTGTTCGGGGCATTAAATGCGGAGAGATGTGCGTCTAATCAAGCGTTAGAAACTTTTCAAAAGGGATCAGAAAATTTTTCGCCAAGAAAGGTATCTTCACCAACTTCCCTATGACACAACTATATGCCACTAAAAAGTAGGAGGACTATCTGCATAGGGTAAAATAGCGATTATATTAAATACTCGAATGATAGAGCGATACGTGAAACCGGAGATAGATGAAAAACGAGGCTAATGGAAACCAAGACGGGGACAACAGCTTTGGTTGGCACCGAGCAGACCCCAAAAGGAATATTGCTAACAAGGACAAACGAATATTTGCCACCCGATGACATTCAATGTAGAATATTCCTCAGTATTAAATACACAATCCGTTACAACGAATTTTGGCATCCATAGCCTACCGTTACACATTCTTCAATGGCTCTCATAATAGTCATTTAAGAGAGGCTTGATCCTAGGACCTTGTTCCCTAGGAGTGACTATATATAGTGACTTCAACAGTCATTGTAAGACACGAAATTTCTGACAAACTTATGCTACACATTATTCTAAGCTCAATAATACTTTATTTCCTGTCTATTGATATTCTTATTGATGTCTTCGGAAGCCTTGCTCCCTGAACTAAGTTGTTTGCTGTCTTATCTCGATTTCAACGCTAAGTCTTGCATTTTATTTAAATTATTTATTATTTTGGGATCAAATTTATTCGCTTGTCTATAAATAACGTTATAAATTCAATTGTACTGTTTTATGGGTAAACAATTATATTCGTGAACAACAACAACAACCCAACAAAATTTACTATTGAGGTCGGGGGAGGGTAGTGTGTAATGTGGTTCAAAATTTTTAAGTTATCACATTTTACCATTCGACTATTCTTTGAGGCTAATTGTAATGTCTACTTAGGGAATCAAAAAGGCGTTTCAGTTAGGTTTCTTTTTTGTTTTGTTTTAGACTGCAATATTTGAAATTTACTTATCTTATTAATTTGAATTTTTGCTGCATAAGCTAATTAAGGGAAAATAAAAAATTCCAACTTTCAAGGCTCAAACATAAAATCTCTGGTAAAAAATCATGAACCAATGCTAAATTCTGTTTTTCTTTTTCTTTTTAAATTTTGGCTCTAAATTTGGAATAAAGGCACAAGAAACATGAGCATGAAAACGAAAGCGTGAACATGACACCAGGCTCATACCCAAACGGCCAAACCCCATCCGGGGGGGTGGGGGTGGGTGGGTTGAACGTGCGGAATCATGTTCCCGTCAATATAAATCGACTATTCCATCCAAGTTCCACCCACTTAGGAAATTTTTTCACACGCACTGAATTACAAATCACCGGTAGCTACCGCTTCAGCTCCGCCGACTCACCACCGCCCCCTTACAATTTATCAGACGCCCATTGGACCCTCCTAACTGGAAGTAAGAAATTCGGTAATTGGTTTCTTTGTCCATGTCTGTCCGAAACCGGCCATTGACGTTTTCTTTAAGCATTGTTTAAACAGTAGTACAGTACCCAATAAATTAATCAGTTTCTTCAACTTTGGTAAACTTTGACTCTTCCCTTGACTCGTTAACAACAAAACCGGCCTATTAAACCGGGTTTATTCCTCGGATCCTTCACATTTATTCTATCTTTTTTTTTTTTTTTTTTGAATT